GGGGGGGGGGGCTGCGGGCGCCCGGCCCCGTGCTCGGTTAAGGCGCGGTTCCACGGCGGTCTGTCCCCCCGCAGGCCGGTACGACTCACGCGCTCCCCTCCGTATAATGCACACACACCCGGAGGTCCGGGCCGCATGCGGGGTTACATACGTGCGCGCTGCCGCCTCCTTAGCGTATGCCCGCATGCTGACATGCTGGATGGCCCGCCCCCGCCGATAGGCGGCAGTCCGTCGCGACCGGGCACAGGGAGCACGCCTGGGCTAGCCCAACCCCGCCCCTGCCCGGTCATGGGGGCCCCGTTAATAGGCAATCACGATGCGCCGGCCGCGCTCCAGTCTCAAGACCGGTGGCCGCCGGCGTGACCTTGCACTTTCGATCGGACCGGGCTGCCCCCCCCCCTCGCACTCTCGGGACACGGCGGGCGTCGGGGGCCGTCGGCCCGCGCCCCAGCCGGCGCCGCGCGGGTATGTTTGTGCGTCGGCACCCCCGTCCTGGGGGCCTCTTCGGCCGGTGCCCCCTGTGCCGATCGGCAGCCGAGAGCGTCTCCCTCCGCAGCCACCCAGGCCCCATATCACCCCTCACGCCTGCCCCTCCCCGTCCCCCCTCCCCCCCTATCCCCCTGGCCCTTCTCCTCAATCATGTCGCGCACAAATCTGGTCATCGGCTCGCGGGCCTCTCCACTGGCCGTCGCCCAGGCCGAGGAGGTCCGGGGGCTCCTGACCGGCCATGATAATACCCTCCATGTCAGCCTCCTCAAGCTGGACACCGTCGGCGACCGGAACCTCAATGTCTCGCTGGCGGAGCTCTCGCGGCTGGAATCCCAGACGGACACGCCCCCCGCTGCCGCCGCCCCCTCGGGGCATCTGGTCCCGCCGAAGCCCGCAGGCGAGAAGGACCTCTGGACGCGGGAACTTGACGCGGCCCTGCACCGGGGCGATGCCCATGTGCTTGTCCACAGCCTGAAGGACCTGCCGACCACCGGTCGCACCGGTGCGCTGGCCTACCCGATCCCCCACTCAACCATGCTCGCCATCACCGGCACTCTCGTGACCGTCGCCGCCGCCGCCGCCGCCGCCGCCGCCGCCCGTTCTTACCCCCTTCTCTGCTGCTCGCTGCTCATTCACAGCATTCACTCTGGCCGCCGTGCCTCAGCGCTTCGATCCGTACGATGCGCTGGTCCTCCGAGCTGATGCCCCACCGCCGGCCGGTCTGCCGGCCGCGGCCCTGGTTCCGGCCGATCCCAACGCCGTCGACGATCCCCAGACCCAGTATGCCGGGGTGAAGATCGACCTGCGCGAGGTCCTCCCCCGGGGGTCGGTCATCGGAACCAGCTCCCTGCGTCGCGCGGCCCAGCTGTCCCACCGTTATGGCGATCACTTTACCTTCAAAGTGGTGGTGCGTCTTCCCCCCCCCCCCTCCCCCGACCGGGGGCTGCCCTTCGCCTCCCCCTCCCCGGGGCCGCTCGTTGCCTTTGCCGGTCAGCCCTAACCCCCCCCCCTTCCCTTTTCTTCCCCCGTGTCTCGCCGGTCCCCGCTCGGCCAATGAATTCTCAGCGCGGCAACATCGCCACCCGGCTGGGGAAGCTCGACGCCCCGAGCGGCGGGTACGACGCCCTCATCCTGGCCGCGGCGGGCCTCCGGCGCTTGGGACCGGACTTTGCCTCGCGCATCAGTGTGCGTCTGCGCGACGAGCGCTATGCCGTCGGCCAGGGTGCCCTCGGCGTCGAAGTGGCCGCCACCGATGGGTCTGCTCTCGCCCTGGTCCAGGTGGCCTGCGAGGATGCTGGCAGCCGCTGGCGCGTGGAGGCCGAGCGGTACGTCACCATCCCCCGCGCACATGTACACGCCTCTGGGCTGGCCCGACATCTCCTTTTCTGACTGCCATCCTTTTCCCTCTCCCTCCCCCCGGGGCCGATGTGGCCCTTCCAGCTCGGTGCTCCGGTCTCTCAATGGTGGCTGCAGCCTGCCCTTGGCCATCCGAAGCCACTATGACACTGCTCCGGCCCTGGGCCCGGCTGGCTCGCCGGCTGTCATGACCCTCGACGCGGCGGTCTTCTCGCTCGATGGCAAGCGCTCGGTGGAGGCGGCTCTCTCCCGGAGGGTGGCCTCCAACGCGGACGCCGTGGCCCTTGGGTACGCCCCTCCCCTCTTCCTCCCCCTCCCATGCTCCCTTCTTTCCCCCATATATCCGCACTCCCGAGTGGTTCGATCCCCCCCCCCCCCCCCCCCCCCCCCCGGGGGCGAGGCCCCGTTGGGGTGGCCGGGCCCGG